CTCCCTCTCCATCTCCTTCTCCCTCTCCCTCTCCCTCTCCCTCTCCTTCTCCTTCTCCTTCTCCCTCTCCCTCTCCCTCTCCCTCTCCCTCTCCCTCTCCCTCTCCCTCTCCCTCTCCCTCCCTCCTTTTTTGCAAGCCGGAGCTGCGGGAGTGTACTCCGCGTACTACTTTTCTATCTAAAAATTGCGATTCTCAGGCCGGAGCTGCGGGAGCGTTCCGACACTACATTTCTATTTAAAAATAATTTTAACGAAAGCACAGCGAGAGCGATCCGACACGCACGATCCCCGCAGAGGGTTTGTCGGCGAGCGTGCAAATTCGCACGGCGCCACAGCGAGAGCGCTCCGACACGCACGATCCCCGCAGAGGGTTCGTCGGCCAGCGTGCAAATTCGCACGGCGCCGCAGCGAGAGCGATCCGACGCGCACGATCTCCGCGGAGGGTTCGTCGGCGACGTACAAAGTTCGCACGGCGCCACAGCGAGAGTTCTCCGACACGCACGATCCGCGCAGAGGAAGATGAAGCTGCCCGGGCGGCGAAGGCAAAAAGCGGCCAAGCTTCTGAGTGCTTCCGTTGAGATGGACAATTGTGCTAGTTAGTGCTTCTGCTGCGACCAAAGCATACTATGCGAAGTAGGCGCTGCAGGAGGCCCAAAGCAGGGAAAAGACAAGGCGTTTGGGAAATCGGCGGTGTTGCAGCTTCACTAGTTTGATATTGATTGCCAAACATGATCACTGGATTTGGATTTGGTTAGGAAATCAACAGCGCACTGACAATTTTTAACGGGCAATTTTTCAATTAACATTTTAATTGCTAGAAATTTTGAGTTTAAAAGGAAACTTAATTGAACATCAACATTTTTCACAGTTAAATATTTGTTAAAAATATTGTTAAACTTTTGTGTGGGCGTGGCTGATGTGCAGGTGTGAGAGTAATATGATTTATTGTTTGTGTGTGAAACCCTTTGAAGGCAATCCAACTTGACATATTTGTTTATTTTTAGTTTCGACTACATTGAAGGATGGCAGTTTAGTGCCACATCTGAAATGAGTTAGAACGTTTGAATCAGGTAGGGTTGCCTGTACTGTGCCCATTGCAAGACAATGGTTTGCGGAACAATTTGTCATGTAAGTCAGGCGGGGAGAGCAGGACGCCTTGGTACAGATTGTCTGAGAACATTGTACCGTCGCCCAGTCTCCTTAGTTGACTTGACCGTGCAAGTCTGTGTGATGGGGTGCTATCAGTATTCTTGCAGATCAAACGGCGAGTGCTGAAAAAAGAGCCGGTCCACCACCCCCCCCAACCCCCTGCTGCTTTTTCCAATTTTTGGCAGGGATTAACGCACCCTTTGCTGAATCGTCGCTTCTTCGAACATCCCCCCTGTCTTCGACCATAATTGGGGGGGGGGGGCTGCCGCCCGCCCCCAAAAAATAGTAAAAGGAGAATTCAAAGAATTATTCTTTCTACTATTTTTTCCAACAGCAACACAACAAACAGAAAACAAAAAATCCAGAACAACAAGCA